ATTTTTTGACATAACGACTTGTACATCTTATTGTTACAATGGGTCCACCTATATCCCTATTTAAACGATTTGTTTTTCCCCTTCCCCTCCACAAATTATACCAACATCAAATACAGTGAAAGCAGGGGTTATACTGTGGGGGAGGGACATACAAAGCAACAAAGAAATCATCTTATAAATGTGTTAGAAACAATACAAAGAAAAAAAAACATTTAAGTCCTTATCTTGGGGTTCATTTCACCTATCATCAACCTATCTGACTGTTTCTGCTTGTCTCAGACATACACTAGTTATTGCAAATAAGGGAAACGATGGGACCTATGTTTCTTTGGGCCTGGCTTACTTCACTTAATATAATTTTTTCCAAGTCTTTCCATTTCCTAACAAATGGGGCAATGTCATTCTTTCTGATGGAGGCATAGAATTCCATTGTGTATATATACCACATTTTCTTGATCCATTCATCTACGGAGGGGCATCTGGGTTGGTTCCATATCTTAGTAATGGTAAATAATGCTGCAATAAACATAGTCATGCTGGCAGCTTTAGTGTGGTCTTGTTGTGAACATTTGGGTAAATGCCCAAAAGTGGGATTGCTGGGTCATAGGGGAGCTCTATGTGGAGTCTTTTGAGGAACCTCCATACTGCTTTCCAAAGTGGTTGAACAAGTTTACACTCCCACCAACAATGCAATAGGGTTCCCTTCTGGCCAAATCCCCTCCAGCATCTGCTGTATTAGAGTTCTTGATTATAGCCATTCTAACTAGGGTGAGGTGGTATCTCAATGTTGTTTTGATTTGCATTTCTTTTATGGCTAGGGAGGCGGAGCATTTCCTCAAGCTGATTCAAAACTTTGGCAAAGAAGAAACATTTTATCTTACAGACAAAGATTTAATTTGCAAGAACAAGCCACTCAAAACGAGTTACAGCAGGTTTCTTGTGTATAACTACTCACCCCTTCTTCCTGTCTTAAAGTTTGAAGAGCTACTGAAACTTTCTTCTGCCTCTTAAAATACTACCTTTGTTTCTTCTTTCCTCAAGTTTTTCTTTACCAATTTCATATCCTTATTCTAAAAAAGAGCTTATGTTTCTCTGATCCTAAACAAATACAAATTTTTCTTCACGGTAACTTCTTCCTCCAGAAACCTTAGAATAATAACTTTTTTAATATGGTAAACTTAAAATTTCTCTCTCTTCCTAAACTTCTAAACTTCTCTGTCTCCTGTCTGTTTTTGCCTTTCTCTGACACCCTTTGTTTCTGTATATGTATATATGTATATATATACATATATATATATATATAGTCTGCATATGTGTGTGTGTGTGTGTGTGTGTGTACTGCCAGTACTGAAACTTGAACTCAGAGCCTTGTGCTTAGCTTTTCCACACAAAGTCTAGTGCTCTACAACTTGAGCCACACCTTCACGTCTGTATTTGTGCTGGCTAATTGGATAAAAATCTCTTGAATAGTCTGCTTGGACTAACTTTTAACCTAAACCCTAATCTCAGCCTCTTGAGTAGCAAGGGTTATAGGAATGAGTCACCAATATTTGGCTAAACCTCTTCTCTTAAGGGCTATCCATGACTTCATGACCAGAATTAAGATGAACAGCTTTGCTTACTTTAGTAAACAACTCCTTCATGGAGTTTTTACTATTGTTGGGCCTTGTTTTGATATTTAATTTACCCAATTTACCTCATGTGGCATTATTGTTCCCCACTCTTTCTAATTATTTTTCCACAAGTAACTTTTCTAGTTTACTCCCTAAATCCTAAAATTATATTCTCAAAATATCCCTCAATAATGTGTATTCAGGGGGCTGGGAAGATGGCTCAGTGGTATAGAGCTTTCCTTGCATGAGGTCTTGGGTTCAATTCCTCAGCACCACATAAGCAGAAAAAGCTGGAAGTGGAAGTGGTGCTGTGGCTCAAGTGGTAGAGTGCTAGCCTTGAGCTGAAGAGCTGAGGGACAGCGCCCAGACCCAGAGTTCAGGCCCACCATTAACAAAAAAACATGTGTATTCATGTGCAATCTCATTTTTGTTCATACCTTCAAATAATCCATATGTTCAGTTTTAATGTGTAACTTGATGTCTGGACATAAAATTTTCAGTTTTTATACATCTTCATGTAAGAGCTTGTGTCAATATGTCAAATGCTTAATATTAAGAGCCTAATTTATTATCTTTATAATTTCTTCCCCAGGGGAAAATAACAAGAGAAGAAAACAACACATAAAATTATCAATCAGATTGAGTTATCATTCTCTATAGATTTCCTGTTCAACTCCAAGTAAGTCTCCATTTCCATGTATTTGCTTCCTTCAATTCTACATTTAGAATTAACAATTTTCTATTTTTGTTCATGTATATGTAGTCTAATCTTAATATCTGATTTAATCTTCACCTCATTCTTTTTTTTCTTTGAACCACAAGATGATGCACAAGGCCTGACATCAGGTTGGATCTTACATTGTTTTTAAAAAAATACTTTTTTATTGTAAAAATACTGTACAGATGGGTTACAGTTCCATGAGCAAGGTAATGAGTAATTTCCTATCAAGCATTGTTACCTTCTACTGTTTTCCCCTACCCTCCCTTCCCTCCCACCTCCACAACTACACTCCCCCTCCCCTTGCCTAAATTGTAAACTTCATTTTTCAACATAGTGTCTTGTGCATCTCATTGTTACAATGGGTCAATCTGCATCCCTATTTAAGAACTTTGTTTTTTCCCTTCCCCTCCCCAAATTATAGAAGTGTATATACAAGATGCAAAATCAAATACAGTGAAAACAGTGGTTATACCATGGGGCAGGAATATACAAAGCAACAAAAAAAAATCACATGGTACATTATAAATACACCAGAAACAATAGCAAGAAAGAAAAAACTTCTGATCCCATTCACTTTCCCATTTTTCTGGTCCCTCAAGTTTGAGTGTGTAGCATTTTGAGCTATGACAGTATCTATCTATGGATGTTTCCATCTTAAACTTTTTGAGGTAAACTTCATGATCATTTCTCCACCTCTATTATGGACAGTTCTCAGTACATATGAGGTACTCTGTAAATATTCTGTGCAGAAGACATGTTTTAATCTACTTTTATTAAGATAACTAAAGAAGTAGGCTGTACCTATTAAGTGAAAAAAAGAAGGAAGGCCAAGACATCAGATGACAATTTGTGTCATCATATGAATCTATATGTATAGTTTATTCTTTTGAGGAGAAGAAATAGAATTAGGAGCTAGAATATGGCCTTTTGTGTCATTCATGGGTGTGGGGTAGAATGGTTTACAAAATTTAATAATGTAATGATGACATAAAGAAAGAGAGTTTAATTTAGATTCCTTTAGTTTCTTTGGCAAGAACACGGAGAAAATTTAGCACTGCATCTAATATACCAATGAGTAGCTTACACACTGAAAGAAATTATTTTATAGAATTTACCTAGAGAGTCTCAATGAGAGATAAACAGATACAGACCGAGAAATACAGAGAGAAATTCAATATCATCATACCTAAAACCTGGTATGTGCAATCTAGATGTGTTCACAGTAAATTTGCTACTCCTGTGGAAGACACTGAAATTGCCAAACTGTGTTCTAGCTTTACTTGATTTTACTATGTAACTCTAAATGTGAAAATCTATTTCATGTGAAATCCACTTAATCTCTCAGACATGATTGCTTTTTTTAAAATATAAGATGGACAAATGCTAACACAATATGTGGGATTCTATTTCTCACATATATATGTACACACACACACACACACACACACACATCCATGTTAAACTGAAATGCTTTATCAATTCTACCTAAGAGATTTTTCCTCCCCGTGGTCCAAACCATTTCATAAAGTCATTCCCCATGGCTTACACAGCCTCTGACACAGCACAACTACCCCTTTATAGGAAAGCAATGACTGAGACAGAAACAGCTTGATAACACCCCCACCTCTTGCCACCTGCACCATAACCATCACCATTGCTCTCTCTCTCTCTCTCTCTCTCTCTCTCTCGCACACACACACACCTTCCCACAAGAAGAGAGAAGCATTTAAAACCAGTTTTACAAGTGTATTAAAACTGTATTGAAATACAATGAATTTGATCTAAATGACAACCATTGGCTCTTACTTATTAGATTTCTGTATTTTTTCCCTGATTTTTCCTGTAGCAAATAAAAAAAGATTTCAGGGAAGTCACAAGCAGAAGCAAGGCTGTTGCATGCATATTCTAGTTCCTGAGTCATTCCACTCTTCAACACAGCTAATGTCACATGACCTAAAATCATTTAAAACATGAACACCTTCCACAGTATCAACGATCCTAAATGCCCACTGTCCTGTTATTAAAACCGAGGAAAATCCATTTTTCAGCAATTAATGTGTTTTCAGTTTACTCTTCGTGTTTATCTTGGGGGATGGGGAGTGACTGTGCTATCATTCCAAGTCTACTAAACACATTACATAAATCCTCATTCATGGGAGGGAAGTGATTCACATCTTATTTCTAAAAGGTAGAAACAGAAGCACAAATAATCCATACCATCTCTGTCAGCAGGAATTGTTCAGAAGGCCAGTGGCTCAGGATGTTGGCTGCCTCCAGGCTGCTATCAGGAGGCAGAGCCACTGCCATGTTAATCGGCTTCATTACATCTCTATGATTTGTTCAACGCATTAAGGAGCAGCATTTCCCTTGTGAGGGGAAGGGCTCATTCCTCACTTTGAAATCCTTACCATTAAAAGGTAAACAAACACAGCCATAGATTGATACTTAAGATAGAAAAGCCAACAAAATAGTGAAACACCAATAATCATGATAAGAGCTCATTTTGCTTTGCCTAGAAGAATTTTTAAATGCAGAACTGCCAGAATTAGAGCTTTGGAATGCTTAGATCTAAAGGCAAGATTACAAATCCCGTCTCATTTTCAATACCATTATTAACATAGATAACAATTCAAGAATAGGCCAAAAATAGAATCATTCTGGCTTACCTGAAATAAAGGGAACTCTAAATCATAACACAGAATCCATGGGTGTGTTGAATATGATGTCTTCAGTGCAGTTCTGTAGAATTTTGACTAGAGCAGGAAGTAAAATTTCACATGTGTTCACTCCCAACTAAAGAAAGAAACAAAAAAAACCAATAAAGGACGATCACAGCATCCTTTCTGCTTCTGCCTTAGCTTTCTGTTCTGACACTCACTCGATGGAACCCACTGTCTGTTAGAAAACAGCATGCTGAAATGAAAAAATAAATAAATAAATCTAAGGCAGCCTCTTGCACGACAGCTCCATCTCCTGGTCATGAGTGGAACCACTGAATTCAAGTTCTTTTGGCAATGCAGCATTTGGCAAGCCTGATTACATGGTGCAGATCCCATAATTCCACTGTATTTGAAATTAACTACCCCAATTTATTTAAAATTAAGAGTTTAAGAAGGATTATGGTATGGATTTTTAAATTTATAACTCTAATTTTAGGGTTTCCTTTAATTTGTTTACAGCACATTTGCATTCATAGCATTTTAAAAAATGTAGTGACTTACATTTATTTCACTTTATATACTATCTGAAACTGTAGTTTGTATCTCCTACCAAAATGATTTTAGTTGTAGTTTCACCTCATGGTGAAAAAAGTCTAAGTATTTTCTTACTAGAGAAGTCCTGTGATATACTGTTATCGTTTAGAGAAATGTTGGAGGGTTACAGTTAATAAAAGAAAAACCAAATGAATAAAAGACAATCTTGGAGATCTTTAGTCAACCAAATTCAATCCAATTCATTTCAAATGGACAAATCTCAAATTGTACATTGTAACTGTATATTAAATTTAGCAATTGTAGTATACTAAAATGTGAACTAGGATCTTATTATAGGGATATTGTTATAAACCAAAGTTTTACTTGATATATGGTATGCTTAGCATGTTATTTGTTTAATTACTTAATTTTCTATGGTCAGTGGTGAAGTACTAGTTCATTAAAAATGGGAGGGGATTTGTGAATAAAAAAGGAAAAAGGAGCAAATGTACAGCTGAATATCCAATGTACATATATGATGAAGCAAATAGGAGACCTGAAATGAGTCTGAGGAGAAAGAGCAGATGGGACAAATCTTGATCAAGTAACACCCAACATAGAAATGGGATGTTAAATCTTGATATTTGGTATAAGCTCTAGAAATTTAGAAATTAAAAATATTGTTTCAAATTTTTAAATAAGATTTTTATTGTGAGAATACTGTATAGAGGAGGGGCTACAGTTACATGAGCAAGGTAATGAGTACATTTCTTATCAAGCATTGTTGTCTCCTTTGTTTTTCCCCTACCATCCCTTCCCTTCCATCTCCACAACTAAAGCTACACCCCCCACCCTCCCCTAAATTGTAAAGTTCGTTTTTCAACATAGCGTCTTCTTAAAAATGAAATTAAAATATGGGAAATTCCTCCCTCCTGTTTTCCCGCAATACCATTTAAGTAGAAACACGAACCAAATTCCCTACAAAAGTTTTCTGTGTGGTGGGAAGGGAGGTGAAACACTGGGAGAGAATGAGTTTTCTGGAAACCCTTCATTTACTAGTATAGTGATGCTGTCCATGGTACTGAAACACAATTTCTGAGCACATAGAGGATTCTAAGGCTTAAACTAGTTTGAAATGTAGTTCTCATGAGGTGTGATGTAAATGTTAGTCTTAAAATCTCTAGGTCAAGCAAGATAAATAATAACATCTAATATACAAATGTGTTATATTTTGTCCATAAATGCACATATGCCAATCAGAATCCATGATGTAAATAATCCTTTCTCTGGCTCCTTTATATTTCATTTCCTACTTAGGAAAATTCTTATATAGTCTATGCCTCCATTATCAGATGAGGAATGGAGGCCTACTTTACAGAAACTTATTAAGTGCTAATTAATAAATAAGTCCTAAAATATTACCTTGCTTGTTTCAATATCAGTATTAAACCTATAGCCTGACAGTACTCAGTAAAGACCCTGTGACTAACCTAACCCTCAATCTTTTTCTTACATTTAGCTCTATAATATTATTAGGACATGTCGATATGGTTTAAAAACATACTAATAACATTGTGCAAATGAATAATTAAAGTGACTTGAATCATCAAAGCAGTCTAGTGTATGCCTCTAGCTTGTTCATGACAATTTTCTGTGCTAATGTAAGATATAAGACACAGTTATAAACATCTGGGGCCTATTAATTATGACATTTTCCTCAAACTTTCCTCCCAATTGTTTCTGATGATCTAGAATGTTGAATGGATAAAATTACAGCCTAAAATACCACAAACATAAAAGATCATTAAAAGCACAAACATAAAGTATCATTAAAACCTCACTTTAGGTATTTTATAATAATGCATAAAAGAGTTAAACATTTTTTCTTAACAAAGTAATTCTTTTCCCTATTATTTATTTATTTGTCAGTCGTGGGGCCTGAACTCCGGGCCTGGGCGTTGTCCCTCAGCTCTTCAGCTCAAGGCTAGCGCTCTACCACTTGAGCTGCAACTCCACTTCTGGCTTTTTCTGCTTATGTGGTGCTGAGGAATTGAATCCAGGGCCTCATGCATGTGAGGCAAGCACTCTAGCACTGAGCCACCTTCCCAGCCCCTTCCTCATTATTTTAAAGGTAGATGTTTTTGTTTACTCTTGAAGAATATTTGCATAACTTACCCTGAAATTGTGGGCATCTTTATACATGCCTCCATATATTTCTAGGGGTATGATATTTTGTTTGGAGACTATGGGGTCATGTGACACTGCAATATGAATAATCCTATTAAGTTGTACCTGGGCTCCACATTGTTCACTTCCCTCATTCTGGTCAGGCTTTAGAACTCTCTCCTGAGTGAACCTAACCCTAACTCCTAACTTCATCCATACACTCTCTACATTTCCTTCCTGGTATGCTGTGTAGTCTTTAAAGAAAATGTAAATTCCATGAAGATGATTTGGTCATTTCTACAAGTTTGACTAATACCTAAAGGCTAAAAGCTGATAGAAGAAAAAACAAATGATTGTCTTACATATAGAATACTTTGCATCTTTTTTATGTATTTATAATCACTGTGATGTTAATTCATGTGAATTTTTATATTTTATTAATAGACGTTTGAAGAAAAACAAGTGGTCAAAATATTATTGACTGGAAAAGAGGAGTGATAATGTAGAGGTGAAAGAGCCTTAGAGTCCTGGTGGCCACAGGTCCTTTTTTCCCCTGGAAGGTGACTTAAAGAGAGCACCATTCCATGATCCACTGAGCTACACAGCTTTCTCACACATGCCTCAAGCCTCACAAGATGCATTTACTAGTACCAGAAATACACTGATGTTGTCTGGTGGCTCCCTGCTGAGGCTAAGTGAAGTACATTTAGGTTGTCCTGACATTGCTCATTAGGAGGTGGGTTTTCTCGTGGAGCAAATAACTAAATCTGGTGTGATAAGAGCTACTTAAAGGAACTCACACTCTCCAAAATCTGTGCCAAATTATATTCATCAGGTGTTCACAAAAATCGCCCTAACATGTAGTGGATTAATCATCAACTTCAACTCCTTATTTAATGATTCTTATTATGATTTTATCCTGTTTATTCTTTGCAAGAATAGCACCATCATATCATAAATCATAGTAATTATAAGCAATGAAATCCTTGATTGTTTGGGTTGTAACTGGGTGTGGTGGCAAATGCTGTTTGAGGCTGGCAGGGAGGGGGGTTGTTAGTGAAATCCTGTCTCAGAAAACAATCCATGCATGGCAGTGCACACATATAATTACAGCCACTCAGGAACTAGAAGTAGGAGGATGATTGTCTAAGGTTAGCTCAGGCAAAAGTGCAAAATCTGATCTGAATAACAAACTAAGGCAAAAAGGCTGCTCAATCCTTTTACTTTCTGACAATTTCACCTCAATGGAGAACACGAGATAAAGAAATGCAATCTTGTTCTTAGCCTATCCTAGTGAAGAAATTATGGAGGGACTCCATGAAATGAGTTATGAGATTGATCAGAAAAGTCTCACATGGTAAGAATTCTGGGAAAGAATTGTTCAGCAAGTCCTGCTTCTATTTTATATGAATGTGACGGGAAACCAAGAAGAGCAGGCAGGAAAAGCTTAGTTATCAGAAGCAACTCTCACCCTTATTAGAAATATAGGACTTTCAGAAGGCATCTGGTTCAGAGACATATGAGAAAATCCCTGCATGGAAAATAACAAAAGTAAATTCCAATTGAAACTAGAAGGTAATAGGGCCCCAAAATGCCAGTTGTTCTATTGGTGGAGTACTCATACAGGATGAATTCTAGAGACGTTTCTGGGTGTCTCCAGGTTATCTCTTCAAGGGCATAGTTGCTCTGATATTTCTGGCAGTAAGGAGCAGCATCAGCCGTTTACCTTGACACATATTCACAACATACCAGGGACCCCAATAATGCAGTACTTCACTTGCAAGTGAAGATGCTTTCCTCAGTGAAGCAAATCACAAAATCATGGAAGACAGAGGGTATCAGGAATGGAGAGTCCACATGTAAAGTATATGACTTGGTACTCAGGTGGGCACCTGCAGCATCCAGAATCATTGGATGATGTAGATCTATTCATTTTTATTAGATGATAGAGATATAATCACTACCAGTATACTCAGTCCCACTTCTAAAGTTCTCGTTAGATTATGACTGATGATATGCAATCTAATATAATAGTTTATATCTGAAAATTCCAAAGGAGAAAGCAACTCAAGTGAAAACAACTGTAGAGAACTTGGCTCATAGGTCTAAAATTCACATGCAGACATAAATATACATTTATAATTGGCATATATCCATACACATTGTTATGTCTGGATATTGGAAGACCCCTGCATTGATAGCTTGGTTCTCAGTGTGCTCCTATTGGGTGCTGCTGAAGGGACCTTTAGAAGGGGTGATATAATGAAATGTCCTCAGAGCAATGGGAGAATGCCTTTGTAGTAGATTGTGGGACACCAATCCTCTTCATATTCTTTCGGTTTCCTGCAAATTAAGTGAGTAGTTTTGCTCCATTGTAAGGTGGAGGGCTCTTGCCATTCTGTTACTTTACCACTGCTACCAAACAAGTGGACTTCTTTATCATGAACTAGAGCATTCAAAACTAAGATATTTTATCTCTCTGTGTCTCTTTGTCTCTCTCTGTCTCTCCCTCTCTATTGCTCTGTCTCTCTCTTGTCCTACTTTGAACCTCA